GGGACAGATGAGGTGAACACGCAAAAGGCCAAGGATGGCAACAACGAGGACAGCCACGGACTAGAGACAGCAGCACCCTTTCAGGAGACAGGAGGCCAAGGGGGAGGTCCGTGAATTAGTCAAGTAGAAAAAGGAGACGCCCCAGCAGCTGCGGGAGAGACACCTGGGCGAGAAGCCAATTTACCGGTGGAAGGCTTGGGAGTCGCCGGAGAGTGGAAGGGAGAAACGCCGGAACAGAAGTCTGATTGTAGGTGAAAAGGAGTGTTCACGCCCCCTTGCCCCTCAGAAGACCACCACAGCTTTCCTCTCCTCAGAAATGGAACAGGAGAGAGAGACTAGATTCAAGGACCCTTGGGGACAGTGGGTGATGGCAGAAGACACCGAAGAGGATTAAGTTAAACTCTGAATTAAGCTACCCCCCCCAGCAGAGTCGGGAGGAGTCTTCTCAGTGAAAATAAACAGCCTGAGAGAAGAGGCCTCTAGCTCGTGAAAAGGGGGATGGGGACAGAGGTGCAGGACTGTTTTCCTAAAAGCCAGTTAACCTGCCAGGAATCACCAACCCCTGGCTGCTGACGAGCCCACCCCTAGCACACAAAGGCTCCAATCGGCAATTCAGAGGCTCACTTTTACATACTGCATTTGAGGAAAGCCTCCAACAGGAAAGACAGTTTCAAAAAAGGGAGAAGTAAGCTCTGAGGTGTCAGGATCAATTCAGTCAGAACAGACAGTGTAAGTCACAGCTCCAGAGAGAGAACAGGAGATGCTGCCTCCATGAAGCACGAGTGAAAAAGAAAAGGAACATTGTCAAAGAAAACGCACAGAGCTGTGCAAAATAGTCCGAAGCTTTGTCTAAAACGGAGAACAAAACACTAGAGGCTCAAAAATGGAACAGAAAAAAAAAGAAAATTAGAGAATTGATCTGTTTCAATATCCAGCTGCTGGGAGATTCAAAAAGACAGGGAAATTCCATTGGTAGGGAGGAAATTACCCAAAAAGTACTATCCGAAAATTTCTAGAACTAAAGACAGTAAGACTGCAGTTAGAAGAGACCCATAAAGTACCCGACACAGTAACACGTGAGAGATGCCGAGGCTCTTCAAAGTGCAGAACACCGCTACAAACAAAAAGAAACCCGGAGAGCCCCCCAAAATTTAAATTTTTTTTAAAAAGTCACATAGAGAGGGTCAAGAATCAGAATGGCATCAACTTCTCAAGACCAACAACAGGAGGCCGAAGGCAACAGAGTAACACCTCACAGATTCTAAAGGCAGGCCACTGTTTTGGTTACCTGGTGTCACTCTAACAGGAAATAGCACAAATGGGTGGCCTGAACAGGAGTTTATTCTCTTACAGTTTGGAGGCTTTAATTCCAAGTTCAAAGTGCCAGGCTCTAGGGGCTGGGTGAAAGCCCTTCAACCTTGGGATCCACCTCTGCTTCCTGCTCCCGGCCCACTGGGGCTAGAGGTGTTTCTTTACTCAGACAGCTGCTGGCTACTGAGACTGACAAACCCAAGGTCATAAAAAGGCACAGTCCCGATGTTACCAAACCACATGGCAGGCCATTGATTCAAGTCCATTAAGAGTCCCCAAGGTCAGCAGACAACATGGCAGGCTGCTGAATAACAACTCGGCTACATGCAGGAGTCAAGCGCGCCAGAAGCTTGAGACCTTCCTCAAAGTCCCTTCTTATACACTGGAAGCAGACCACATCCCAAAGGCAGCTACTCAGCTGCTCCAGTAGATCCCACCATGGAGTTGATCATCAGTCTCACCCTGGGGAATAACCACATCCAGCTGCCCAGCCACTCAACCAGGCCCAGCCAAGTTGACACACAACCTTAAGTACCACAGTCATGTAGCATAGACTCTATATCTAGCCATAACAACCAAAACATTTTTAGACACACATGGTCTCAAAATTTCTCTCCCATCCATGCAAACCTCCTGAAGAAGTTACTACAGAAGGCATTCCATAAAGGAAAGGAGAAAACCAAACAAAGACTACAGGAAATCTAGAAAACAAGGAGAGACGTGAAGAGAATTTCCAGAAAGATGGGAAACAGAATGTCTGGGCAAAGTCTCCAGAGCATGGATGGGGCGCACAGTCCAAACAGGAGAGGGGTGGGGGCTAGTTCACCTGCCAGGGATGACACTGTGGAACCTGGCACCGAGAAGGCGTTTTGCTTCTGGTTTGTTTTTAGTTTTGTTAAAGAATTTGTGGAGAATAAATGAAAATGAAGGACATGGAAAAAGAAAGCAACAATTAATTCCAGGCAAAACAAAGGTCTACAAAAGGAAATGCAATCAGAGCGTAAGCTGGCTCCCTTGGGAACCATATTTACACAGTTACAAGGAAAGAACTGAACACTGATTAAATATCATGTTATAAGCACAGTGGGAGAGGACAGAGGTGCTAAATGTCCACCTCCCGTAACAGGCGGGAAAGGGAAGCATAAATGTTTTATTTAGAATACAAAGGCTGCTGTTGCTCCCAGGTGCCCTCGAGTTGGTTCCTACTCATCCGACTCCAGGTACAACAGAACTATACCCACCTGGTCCCGTGCCACCCACACCACCACTGCTATGTGCAAAGCCCACTGCCGCCTTCCAACCTGAGGGGCTCACATCCCGGCACTGCATCACACAATGCCCCTCTGCTATTCAGAAGGTTTTCACTGGTCAATTTTTTGAGAAGTAGATGGCCAGGTCCTTCTTCCTGGTCTGTCCTGGTCTAGAAGTTCTGCTGAAACCTGTCCACCATGGGTGACCCTGCTGGTATCTTAAATATCAGGGGCACAGCCTCACAGCACTACACAAGCCACCACAGGAAGCCAAAGTGATAGAGGAATAGCAGAGAACATAAAGGTAACGTCTTGAAAAAAATACAAGCTACAGGAATGATACAAGCTTCTTTCAGAAAAGGAGAAGATGCTGGCTCAGTGTTAGAGAATTTACAGTGCACGTGCAGAGGCTGTTTCCAAAGTGAGGGAAACACACAGATCACTCCAACTGCTATCTGCAAATCCACCTCCCACGTCATGACTACATATTACTCTTTAGAGACACAGGAGCTCTGGCAGTGCAGTGGTTAAACCATTTGGCTGCTAACCAAAAGGTCAGTGGTCCAAACCCACCCACCGCTCCATGGAAGAAAGTTAAGGCACTCTGCTTCTACAAAGACTGATAGCCTTGGAAACTCCATGGGGCAGTTCTACTTTGTCCTAAATCCAAACCAAACCCAAATCCACTGCCATTGAGTCAATTCCAACTCAGAGCAATCCCCATTGGTGTTGTACAGATTGATAGCCTTGGAAATCCTAGGGGGCAGTTCCACTCTGTCCTCTAGGGGCGCTGTGAGTCAGACTCCACTCCACAGCAGTGGGTGTGGTTTGGGCTTTGCTTCTGTGAAGATTGACAGCCTTAGAAACCCTCTGAGGCAGTATCACTCTGTCCTCTAGGGGCGCTGTGAGTCAGAATCGACTCCACGGCAGTGGGTGTGGTTTGGGCTTTGTTTCTGTAAAGACTGACAGCCTTGGAAACCCTGTGGAGCAGTTCCACTCTGTCCTCTAGGGGCACTGTGGGTCAGAATTGACTCCACAGCAGTGGGTGTGGTTTGGGCTTTGCTTCTGTAAAGACTGACAGCCTTGGAAACCCTGTGGTGCAGTTCCACTTTGTCCTCTAGGGGTGCTGTGAGTCAAAATCAAGTCCATGGCAGTGGGTGTGGTTTGGGCTTTGCTTCCATAAAGACTGACAGCCTTGGAAACCCTGTGGGGGAGTTCTAGATTGTCCCGTGGGGCACTGTGAGTCAGAATTCACTATATGGCAGTGAATATGATTTTTGTTTTGGGTTATTTAGAGATATACCAATGTGTTTGATCTATCTGACTATGTTACCTGTATTATCATTCATATATAGATAGATAGATAGATAAATATATAGATATATACACACACATATACATAAATATAAACCAAAAAACCAAACTCACGGCAGTCAAGTCAGTTCTGACTCATAGCAACCCCTCCTTGGGTTTCTGAGGTGGTATCTCTACGGAAGTAGATTGCCCAATCTTCCTTCCGAGGAGTAGCTGGTAGGTTTGAACCGCCAACCTCCTGGTTAGCAGTCAAATGCCTTAGGCACTGAGCCACCAGATATACATATGTATATATTTTCACCATGGATCCCCCTAACAGAGTGCAACTGTATAAAATAAACTACAACAACAATTATATAACAGATTTGCAGTATTTTCTCATCATTTGGAAAATATAAAGAATGTTGTTGTTGTTGTTATGTGCTGTCCAGTCAGACACAACTCATAGCGACCCCTCCTTGGGTTTCCAAGGCAGTATCACTACAGAAGTAGATTGCCCAAACTTCCTTCCGAAGAGTGGCTGGTGGGTTGAACTGCCAGCCTTCTGGTTAGCAGTCAAGTGCCTTAGGCACTATGCTACCAGAGCTCCCTATAAAGAATGGCCAGAGTTAAAAATGCTAAAGGAGTTCTTCTGAAGTTTTGCTGACACCTAATTACCAGAACTAAGCACACCTCCCCAAGGGCTGGGCTACATTACGTCCCTGACTTTGTTCTCCCACACCTACAGTACTGGCCCAATGCCAGAGGTGTGCGGACTTTAACATGGTAGTGTGTCCGTGGCTGTATTTATAGCTGTACATTTGGAGCATTTATAATACGGGCATTTAAATAATTCCCACTGAATCACGGGATCCTCTGGTCTAGCTATATGAAGTTCTGCTTAGGAGACATTTCTGACAGAGAAAAATCCAGCTGACAAGTGAGAAGTTGTTTGAATGATCTTCAGACTCTAGGCAGCATTGTCTCCTTTCCATTAAAGGTCGTTTTACAACATCAAGTTTCTTGGCATTTAATTCCACTGATACACATGAACATGTTTTCCTTTAATAAGCAATGAAGGCATTGCTCAGGTTTCAAACTGCTTCCAACCATAATTTTGAAGGCTAAATATTAATGGATACTTACGTTGACTAATCCAAAATAGTGCTCGTTGACTGGAAACTGCTCTGGACCAATCTCTTTCTCTAATGCCGATGCATTGGCGCCCTATAAAATGAAAAACAAAAGTCTTAGAAGGTAGAGTACTCTTATAACGTTGACACAAGTACAGATGCACTATGGAGCTGTTCTTAAAAATTGACCTATGTCAACCATGGGAGAACAGACAGGCAGTCTATGCACAGAGAGACAGCTGGGGGAGGAGGCAGGGGTGCATGGAGGAAAGGACACAGGGAAGAGGTGACTATGGGGAGGAAGTGGGAGGGGAGCTGTTGCATTGTTGGAAACTGTGGTCAATGACATGAGACAAAGTGTATGTGAACTGCTGTATGGAAAGTGAATTTGCTCTGTAAACTTTCACCCAAGTCACAATAAAATTTTTTTTTAAATGATCTATGTTCCCTACAATGCACTAACAACATTGAAAGAATATGAAAAATAACAGTAAAGAATAAAGTCTTCCAATAATTTGAAGCTCAATATCATCAGTCAGAACAAGGCCAGGAGCCAACTGAAGAAGACACCAACTTGTTCAAATGCAAGTTCAAGTGGAAGCTGAAAAAAATTAAAACAAGTCCATGAGAGGCAAAGTATGACCTTGAACATATCCCACTTGAATTCAGAGACCATCTCAGGAACAGATTTGACACGCTGAATATTAATGACCAAAGACCAGATGAGTAGTGGGATAATATCAAGGACATCATATTTGACAAAAGTAATAGGTCACTAAAAAGACAGGAAAAAAAAAAAAAGACCAAAGTACATGTCAGAAGAGACTCTGAAACTTGCTCTTAATCAGAGAATAGCTAAAGCAAATGGAAGATATGAAGTAAAAGAGCTGAACAGATTTCAAAGGGCAGCTGGAGAAGACAAAGGAAAGTATTACAATGAAATGTTCAAGGACCTGAAGTTAGAAAACTGAAAGGGAAGAACACGCTCAGCATTTCTTAAACAGAAAGAACTGAAGGAAAAATTCAAGCCTTGTGTTGCAATTGGGAAGGATTCTATGGGCAAATGCTGAACAATGCAGGAAGCATCAAGAGAAGATGGAAGGAAGACACAGAGTCGCTATATCAAAAAGAATCGGTGGACATTCAACCACTTCATGAGGTAGTACGTGACAGAGTGGCAGGGAGCTCAGGTAAGGGGAGGGACACAGGCCCCACCCCCCAAGAGGCAAGAAGTGGAGAGGTTTGAACAGCTAAGGGAGACAAACTTGTCTGTCAGTTTGTCCTACTGTGGTGTCTTGAGGCTGTGCCACCAGTGTCTCAAATGCCAGCAGGGTTGCACATGGTGCACAGGCTTCAACACAGCTTACAGACTGAGACAGACTAAGAAGAGGGAAGAGGCCATCCATTTTTCAAAGAAGAAAACCTTATGAATAGCAGAGAAACACTGTCTGATACATTACTGGGCAACTTTATGAATAGCCCTGAAACACTGTCTGATACAGTGCAGGAAGACAATCCCCTTAGGTTGGAAGACACTCAAAATACAAGTGGGAAAGAGCTGCATCATCAGAGTAGAACCAACCTTAATGATACGGATAAAGTAAAGCTTTCAGGACCTCCATGTGCTGACATGGCACCACTCAAATCAAGGAGAAACAGCTGCAAACATCCATTAATAACTAGAACGTGGAATGTACGAAGTATGAATCTAGGAAAATTGGAAGTTGTCAAAAATGAAATGGAACACATAAAGACTGACATCCTAGGCATTAGTGAGCTGAGATGGACTGGTTTTGGCCAATCTGAATCAGACAACCATGTGATCTACTATGCTGGGGATGGGAATTTGAAGAGGAATGGCGTGGCATTCATTATCACAAAGGATGTTTCAAGATCCATCCTGAAGTACAATGCTGTCAGTGAAAGGATAAAATCTATACACCTACAAGGAAGACCAGTTAATACTACTACTATTCAAATTTATGCACCAACCACCAAAGCCAAAGATGGAAGAAATTGAAGATTTTGATCAACTTCTGCAGTCTGAAATCGACCAAACATGCAATCAAGATGTGTTAATTATCACTGGTGACTGGAATGCAAAAGTTGGAAACAAAGAAGAATCAGCGGTAGTTAGAAAATTTGGCCCTGGTGACAGAAATAACACTAGAGACAGCAAGAGAACTTTGCAAGACCAACGACTTATTCATTGCAAATACTTTTTTCAACAACACAAAGTCTGGCTATACATGAGGACTTCACCAGATTGAGTACACAGGAATCAGACTGACTACATCTGTGGCGAGAGGCGATGGAAAAGCTCAATTATCTTCAACTAAAACAAGGCCGGGAGCTCTGGTAGCATAGTGGCTAAGACACTTGCCTGCTAACCAGACGGCTGGCGGTTCAAACCCACCAGCCACTCCTCGGAAGGAAGG